GCGTGTACATGTCACCCTAATGCGGGCGCTGTGTCTGCCCGAATGTCGCCCTGTGATAACACTGAAGGAGCTGAACCAGCAGCCCCTGAATAGAATAGGCCAGAGAGTGGCCGGGGGAACCTGGCTTCTGCTGTCGCGTGGGGTTCCAGAAGGAGAGCGCAGGCACGACGTGCTGAATTCCAGGGGGCCCCGTTCAGGATGTGCCGCTCCAAGCTCCCCATCCCCGGGCAGTTTGCCTGGCAGCTGGGGGAGTAAGTTAGATGTGGCGAGTGGCAGGGAGTCAGGAGCGAAATGGCAGGCAGAGCCCCCAGTTTCTGAGGCCCACTCTGTGAATCTGTCTATTCCAGGTCCTCGGGAGTTCAGGCAAACTGTACACCTGCTACGCCTCCTGCCACTTCTGCACGTGCCCTGCATTTGCTTTCTCCGTGCTGCGGAAGAACGACAGCCTGGTGGTAAGTTGCCTGCCTTGAACGAGGGGGAGAGTCTGTGCCGCTGACACACTTCCCTGAGCAGGATTTCATGTACCTGGGTTGTGCAAGGGAGGAAACGCACAAGTGTTGAAACGTTGGAGCAATCTGTGGCCACCATGCCCTGAGCCGACAATGGGGAGTCATGTGTGAGCAGCCGGGCTCATGAGATAGTGTTGGTTTGCAATGAAGTGTTACTATTTATGACAGTAAAGATCAGTGGCCCCTGGACTCATCTTCAGGCTGCCTTTGTTGTAACAGGTTTCAGAGTGGGAGCCGTGTTAGTCTGTATCAGCAAAAAGAACAGGAGTACTTGTGGCACCTTAGAGACTAACAAATTTGTTTGAGCATAAGCTTTTGTGGGCTAAAACCCCCTTCATTGGATGCATGCAGTGGAAAATACAGTAGGAAGATAAATATACACAGAGAACATGAAAAGATGGTGGCCCCCAATCTTTTCATGTTGTGGGTGTGTGTATAAAAAAATCTGTCTACTGTATTTCCCACTCCATGCATCTGATGAAGTGGGTTTTAGCCCACGAAAGCTTATGCCCAAATACATTTGTTAGTCTCTAAGGTGTCACAAGTACTCCTGTTCTTTTTGTTATAACAGAGTCTCTACTGGATCCCAAAGGGGAGCCTCATCTGCACTGAAGTTCAGTACACGTGCCTACAGGAGAGGGGAACAGTCAGTGTGGGGGCTAAGGTGATGATAAGGGTGCAGGGCACAGCAGTGCTTCATAATTCACTTCCCCACAGGGAAGAAAGACCCTTCAGTCCTCTGGGTAATATCCTGAGAGGAGAGGGCATCTCACATCGGTGAGCTGATACAGTCAGCAGGAAGCCTGTTGTCTCCATCTCCTGCCCTCCGAATAGAGGGGCCAGGCCCATGGTGTGTTTATATGGGAACCATGTGGCTTTGAGTTGAAAAGACTTGAGCAAGGGCCTGCAGGAGCTAAGATTAGGGATGATCCTGGCTATGGCAGGCGTGGGGCAGTAGGGCCAGACATTAGTGAGCCTGGGTCTTTCCTGTCGTTGATTCACTGGAGGACACAGTGTGAGTTGGGCCCTGTGGTATCTTCAGCCAGCTGTGTGGGGAGCAGGGGCACACTGCACACAAGACACCCAGGAGACCTGATGCAGGTGAACAAAACCTTGGGGTGAACATTGCCTTGACTACACAGTTGATTTGGGCCCAGCTACTGCCTGGGGTAGAATTCTTTACCTGCTCTCTAGCCTGTGCCCGTGTTCTCTTTGCTGGGATTGGAACACGTTGGGGTCGGGAGGAAGCCCTTCTTTAAACCCAGCCATTCATGGGTCACCTTTATTGCTAATTTGCTCACGTCTGTATCTTGCAGTGTAAGCACATCCTTGCCATGTACCTCAGCCAGGCCACAGGCGCATGCCAAGAGCTCTCTGTCTCTGACCAGCAGCTGGCAAGCATCTTACTGGCAGAGGAAGAGGAGGAAGGACCTGGGACCGTGTGCTAACACCTTCTCTCCTGCAACGCCTCCCTGGCTCCTCTGAGGTACAGTGACTAACATCCCTAAGCCAAGGGATCAAGGCAGATAGTTTTCCTCCCAAGCTGAATTTAGGCAGGAAATTATTTAGCAGTCCTGCACCGTTGTATTACTTAGTTGTGTTGTAATAAATGAATAATATGAAGCCTCATAACATTAGGCTGAGATTTTGTGACTTCCATGCCCTTCATCTCCCCTGCTGCTGTGGTTCCTGCAGGAGCATTAACTATTTCTGGGCCTCAAGGGTTTGGGACAGTGGAATTATGAATACAGAAGCGCCGGTTTTTTGGTGATTTCTTGGCCCTTCCTAATGCTTCCCTAGTGCAGGGTTGATCTCTTATAGTAGCTTCTTTGCCCCAACACATCTTTTGGGGCTGGCCTTTTATTAGTGTAGCAGCCTGAACCCCTCCGGGGTACTAAGGGTAACCCAGCAGGTAGAAAAATGTCATCGGTACCACGTTAGGCACATACCCAGTGGTCATTCCCGGGGGGATGTAGATGCAACCCTCATAGGAGGTTTATTGTATCATGTTTAAATGTTATGGGGCATACAGAAAGGGCTGTAACTCGTAGAATCAGTCTAATTTTACCAAAATTGTCAGAAAGCTTCTAAATACAATTAATAATGCAAGTGTGTACTCCAAATAGTCCTGTGTTGGAAAGTTTGGGAAATATTTAACCCCCGGTGTGTATATTTTATGCGTTGTCCTATACTTTTTGGCCTTCAGTTAAAGCAGAAATCTATAGTCACATGACAGTATGAGCATGTTTGTACCATGTAATACCTCACAATATTTGTTGTCATTTGAGGAATGGACTCATTTGAGAAATGTTTTTCTGTCTATTTTTATGAAGTTATGTAGACGATAACTCCTGCCCCTTAATTTTAAAACATAACATCAAAAATATATCTGCTCAGCTGGAGACATTAAGCTAAACAAGAACCTATGATACAACTGTGACAGGGTCGCTGAATATAATGACAATACACTGTACACAACTTATATAACTGTCAGGACTTTTAGTAGAAGGTCTTGTATGAATATAGCATGTGAATACTCTAATGTAACCTCTACATACAACTATGAGCTATTTGATATCTAATGCAATGCCCCTTTGGGCAATATTAACTGACAAAAATAGTCACAGAAATTTGCAGACTGTTGAAACATTTCTACTGCCCCTCAGAACCTGTCTCTGATGTGTTCAGTGCTCTGTCGCTGCACTCGTCACTGTCACAGCCGCATGCATCAAGTGCACCAAATCTTCCCTGCAGCATTTGCATCTCTTTGTTGCACAGGTGCTCTCACAGCGACACTGCACAACGATGAGCGTCGTGTTCCCATACTACACTGTTGGCAGAGACCTGGGCCCTGTTCCTGGGCTAGGCTGTGGAGTTCCCCCAGGCTTGCCTCTGTAAGCCCTTCCGCTTTAATTAAATATTAATTGGGCCAAAGCAGTCCCAACATGCTGTCTGTGGTGCAGTGATGAGGTTGTTCAGCTGGGAAGTTGGAGACCCTGGTTCCATTCCTGAGCTAGGTGGCATCCTCATGTGAGCCTCCCTCTGTTGTTCCTCTGGAAGCCTGTCCACCTTAATTAAATATCAATTGGCCTAAAGCATAAGTGCCCAACAAGCAGCCTTGTGGGGGTACGGTGTGGAGGGTATTAGGCGAGTCTCCAGCCACTGGACTAGGGTGTGATTCTGACTCCTGGCCGTGCCCCCATCCTTCAAATAGCAGGATAAGGGGGAATTGAGCCCAATTCTCCCACCTCCTGAGTGAGAACCCGAACCACTGAGCTACACAACGGGCCTGAGAGTTGCTGTGACCCAATTATTTAATTAAAGTGGAGCAGCTTAGGCAAGAGCACCCCACACCAGCGCATCCCTTCGCGCCACGCTGAGCAAATGCACTTGAGAGCCCGCAGAAGCCTATCAAATCCCTTCTCCTCAGGCCCACCGGGGAATGAAACCAGACCCCCCCTCCCCCAAATGTCTGAGTATCCAAACCACCCAGCTACAGCAGAGGCCTCTGTCCCCTTCGCCACTGCTGGTTTGTGGGGCATTAGGCAGATACTTAATCTCACAGGCAACAGTTTAGCACCGAACTCACCGGACCGAGTCCATGAGCAGGTTCCTGCTGTGGGTCACACACTGCGATAGGCACCAAGCAGCATAAAGAGCCAGGCTCAGCACCCCCACCCCAGCGGCTAACTCAGGCCGCTCCCTGCCTAGGGAGGGTCCCATTCTTAGCTGCCCAGTTCTCTCCCGCCTGCGCAGAGCGAGCCTAAGCACCTCACTCAGGCTTTGGGGATCCCGGCGTTGTGCTGATGATTTTCTAGGCATGTAAAAGTCCATTGTGAAATGAATAACTGTTTTGATGTATTACATGGTGCAAACAAGCTCATCCTGTTACGTGGCTACAGACTTTTGCCTTAACTGACGGCAGCAGAGTACAGGAAAATGCATAAAATATCTCCCCCGGGGCTAAGTATTTCCCAGTCAGCTCTATTTTGAGTACACAGTTACGTATCAATTGTATTTAGAAGCTTTCTGCCAATTTTGGTCAAAATTAAACAATGTTTCTTCATCTAGGCCCTGAGTGACGCATCCCAGAGCCCAACTCCACATTGAGTGTTGTGTCTGTTGCCCCCCGCACTCCGGCCACCTGGCTCTGTCTCATTTGCAAACGCAGCCTGTTCTCATCTAACATCGCTACCGGAAGGGCATGCCCAAAGAAACGACACGGCGCAAGGTTAGGTTGTTTTCAGTGGTAAATTTAAGTATTCGTTCTGTATGTAAATAACAAAGTTACTGTAACTACAAAGCCCAAGTAACAAGTGGCAAATACCATCCAGCCTATGTACATCAGGAACACATGGGTTAAGTGACATGTGAAGAACTCCAGACACGGGCGGTGAGTGTTCCTCTGCCATTTTACTTGGATTCACATTTTTAGAAATCTTCAGCACTCATTTGTTTTCCTTTCAAACAACTTAGTTAATAAATTAAAAGAAGCCAGTGGCACATCCCAGGTAGGGAAACAGTGACAACAGCACATGGCAAACGTCCCCTGGCTCCTCACAGGCATCTCAGAAGGGATGTGTAGTGGATCCTGGCTTGCAGTGTAAAAGGTCACCTACAGCTATTCCTTGATCAGTCATTAACTAACTGCTGGGCCCCTGCTTTAGTACTGTGCATTGTGCTCTCTCTCATGCACTCTAGACTGCGATTTGTTTTAAGGAGAAGGAGGCCAGCACTCGGTTTTTGTTGCAATGACATATGTGGATTGCAACCCTCCCCGACCCACGGGTGAGACCCTGGCTGGTCCCGTCCATGATTAACAGGAGCGAGGCGGCCAGAGACAATAGAGAGATTGAAATGAGATGAGTCCTGCTGAGAAGGCAGGAAGTGGTCACATCTGTGGGACGGACTGGGAGCAAGGAAGTTGCACCAGAGATGAGCTGCAAAGGGAAGGAGAAAGACACAGGGCCATAATTTTAACCCTTTTGATACTAGCTGAAGGATTAACAGGCTGACTGGAGCCAAAGTTGGGACCTGATATAAGTTGACGGCAGCAGGTGCAATACCATCGAAATCACAGTTCGGATTCAATCAGGTTTGGATCTGGCCCTTTGTAGCCACAGGGCAGCTAACCCATCTCCTTGCCTCCTAGCGCAATGGATGGTTAGAGGCCCTTGGTCCCACAAACACCCTGTCTCACACCTGCTGAGCCACAGCAACCTCCCTCATTGACCCCATCAGCTCAGAGGCTTAGTGTAAGAAATAGGAGGGGATTTTTTCTGATTCCGTTTAGTGCAGTGCAACATAAACTAAAAGAAATGGAAAGCTGGCTAGAGCGTTATTCAAGTTACATTTACCGATGACAGACCGCTCTAGCCATCCCCTACCTGCCCTCTTCACAGCGACTGCCTTGCGAAGAGTGGCAGGAGCGGGGTTTGGCTTCCATCGCTCTCACTCAGGTTAATGGCTCCTCCTTCCCACCACCTGGCCCCAGAGGGGCAGCTCTGAGAACCTGCATCCCCATCCCTTTCTCCGAGCATGGGCTGTGCATGTGAGAGCTGCCCAGCGGCGACCCTATTCAATACACAGGCATGAACTACAGCTCCCTGGTGCTCACATGCCAAGTGGCTCAGAGATTAAATTTGCCACTTCACTGGCACTTTAAGAACCTTCTCCTACGGTTCCAGTATAGAAGAGGGTTGCAGCCTAAGCCTGTAGTTTGCAGACCTAGCCGTTGTTTTGCCCTGTAACAAGCCAGTTTCTTCTTTCCATTAGCACTGTTACTGGGTATCATTTTTAATGGCCAGGCTGGAGGCTGGTAGGAAATCCGGCCCTTTTGCCATTTCTGCCCTCCGTGTCAGTGTCGTCCAGACTTGCAGCCGTAGGCGTGTGGGGCGAGGAGGGGGCTAGTTTTACTGGAATTCTGAGCCCCCTTAGAACAAAAGGGCATACCAGGTACACATAGCTGCTCCTTGCATCCTGAATGACAGCTTCAACACAGTCAACCCCTTTGGAGCGAATAATGATGCAAATGCTGCATTATTCTCCCCACCTGTGTGTACCCAGTTCATATATTAAATAGGACTTAGTCATTTAAAACCCCCAAAAGCTAGGCTGGCCGAGAGTTATTAACCCGCAGTGCACATTAGGGCATCTCTGCCCTTCAGTGGAAGTATAGAACGGTCAGTGGCCAAGACGGTGCAAATTAACCCCTGAGCCAGGGCTGTGGTTGTAGCAATTTTCGACCCAGTCTAACCCCCCCCAAGAACCAAACCTTGCTCTCCCGTTAGCACCTGTTCCAAAGGGCTGGGCTGTGCCATGGGGCCGTTGCTTGCAAGACAGCATTCTAACTTCACAGGCCAATTAAATCCCCTCCAGATAACCAGACATAACCCCCCAAAGCTAGGAGAAAGACTTCTCAACATCCTGAGCTCACCCCACAGTGCACTGGGAATGCAGCATGGCCCTCGGGCTGACAGTCATCAGAACAGCAGGTAGGTGCAAGGCCAAGAGGAGCTGCAGCTCCTGAGGGCACAGAGTAGCACACACTTGGATCCTGCCCTCTTGAAGGCAGCATGAGCTTTGCCCTTGACTTCAGGGGTAACAGGACCAGCCTCTAGGGATCTGCCCCAAAGCCCATGAATCAATGGAATCTTTTCATTGACGTCAGTGGCCACTGAAGCAACCTCACTGTGAATACCAGCAGGGTTTGGCTTTTTGGTAGAGCAGCAGGTGTTCACTGCTAGAGATGGGCTACCAGGCTCCATGGAGCATAGTCAGTCCTATGAAAGGGGGTGAGCACAAGATCTCCTCTCAACTATCAGTCTTCGAGCAGGGCATCCTTTTACGAACGAGGCTGGATCTCCATTTAACTGCCTTGTTTCCTCATTAACACCAGCCCACCCCTCTGACTCTGGGTCATGGCTTCAGTTTTACACTAGCAACTGGGCTACATAAGATTATTTCCCATGGGAGAATACTAGCTGCATCAAACAATTGATGGAAAAAATAGGGTCTTTACCAAAGTGGCATCAAATACATAGAAAATGAACCAACAACAAAAAATCCTTCTGAGTGAGCCAAAAATAAAAATAAATAAATAAAATCCCAAAGGCCAGGAACTGATATGAGCAGCATGGCTGGGGAAACCTACCCCAGGACGTAGGGCTTCCAACCTTTGACCTAGGAAGAAATGCAATCACCAGCCCCCCATAACTCGAAGGTCAGGAGACAGGGTAAGCAGGGCACTGCCTCCCCAGCCATGTTTTCCCCTACGAGGCACTATGTTAAAATAAAAAATTAAAAAAAATAGAGCTGTACATTATTTAGTGGGACTCATCGGGATCCTGGTCCACCCTCCACATAGGCACAAGGAGTGGGGAGGGTTGGGTTGGTCAGGGTCAGGCTGCAGGATGACAGGCATGGTCAGATAAATACAGGAGCAGAGTTGAGATTGCTGACAGTCAGGTGCCGGATGTTGCCATTGGAGCCCTTGGGGACGTCCTCCATCCTGCAGAGGATGTACTTGGTGAGGATCTTGCGGAAGGTGCAGCGGAAGTCCCTGATCTTGTAGGCATAGATAATGGGGTTGATGACCGAGTTGGCATGGGACAGGATGATAGCCATGTACATCACCCAATCGGGCTTGTTGTGGGCAAAGTCCTGGTGGAAGTAGGTGATGCAGTTCAGGATGTGCAGGGGCAGCCAGCAGAAGGCAAAGAGCCCCACGATGATGGCCAGAGACTTGGCCGCATTGACCTCCTTCTGGAGGGTAGTCCTGGAGTTACCCGTCAACTCCATCTTCCGCAGCTGCTTGCAGGCCACCGTGAAGATCTTGATGTAGATGCCCAACATGATGAAGAGTGGGAGGAGCACACAGCCGAAGAAGTTGAAATAGACCATATAGCTCATGGTGACCACGTTCTCAAAGAGACATTTTATTAAGCAGCCCTGCTGGTTGGCCGAGCTATTGGTAGAATTCTGGCAGCGACTGTTCTCCTGCTCATCGGGGGCTCTGTTCCAGCCCATCAGTGGGGTCAGTCCAATCCCAAAGGAGAGGAGCCAGAGCACGGCGATGAGCCATCTTGCCCGTTTCCCGGTCACCAGGCTCTTGTATCTACACACCAAGAACAAAAAACAAATCAATCCATGACAGAAATGAGCAGTCACAGCTCTGAAAGCTTCAATTGCAAGGTAACCCCAGACAAGGCTGCAACAGCCCCACGGCTCCCGCCCAGCAAAACCCCACAACTGATCACCTATGTAGATCAAAGCCGAAACGGTTTTGAAAATGTCTAGTGGTTTGGGGTACCTTTGCAGGGGCCGGATTGTCAAGTGCTGAGCACCCACCCTCTGAAAAATCAACCCCTTTCAGGTGTCACTAGGTGGGTACCCACCATTTCTAGGCCTATATTCTTGGCCTACATTACTAGGGGATAATCCCACCTCTTTGGGGTAACACAGGGGATAGTCCCAGCTAAGAGCTTCCAGTGTTCCCAGACATATGGTGAGTTTCACACGTCCCCTGGCCTCTCCTTTTCCAAGATCAACTGAGTCCTGAAAATCAGGAGAGTTAGTGTGGCTGCGAATGAACGCTAGAAAGTGGGCCAAGATGACTTAAGCAGTCCCACTGGGCAGCCCCAGTCAGACTCCATTCCCACTGAGCAACTAGTTAGCTCAATCCTAAGCACGCCAGTCCCTCTGCGCCTGAGAAAAGGGTAGGGCTTAGGGAAATGAAGATCAGACTGTATGCAAGGCCTCTTCACCCCCCACGCGACCACATCCATCCCCCCACCTTACACGGTACACTCTGAGGAGGAGTGGATTATTGCCTTCAGGTGAAGCCCGCTATTGGAGACAGGACAGCTCCACAGTCTGATCCAGTTTGTGTGCTGGTGCTTTGTAAGTACACAGTTACTATATAAATTCCTGCAGGTTACAGGCCTAAGGGTACGTTTCTGCTGCAGTCAGAGGTGTGACTGCGCCACATGTCAACATACCCAAGCTAGCTTAAACAACAGCAGCAACGTGAGCTGTCCAGCCCCACCCAGCACTGAAAATTTCTACTAGGTGCCCATCTTCATCTTTCTCACCTTCATTGCTTTTTGGCCTGTACAGACATAACCAGGACTTGATTACATTGAGCTTGTAGAGATTAATGGTGCCACTTGTTAAGCTAATGAAACGATCCTGCTGTAACTAACAGCGTCTTTTCAGTCTGGTCTGGCCCTCATGATCAAAATTGCCAGGTACCAAAATCAAGTCGCTGGTTGATACATAGAGCAGGGGTGACAAGAGCCGATTTAATTCTCACCTCCAACATCTAATCACGTTCCTGAGGTCTCAGTGGCAGCCCCTGACGGGGGCCTCAGGGATTAACTGTGTTACCTTGTGCCTCATCACCTCGGCCCCACCTCAACCTGTCCCTCGAATGCACTGGGGTGTCCCGGGGGATGGAATGGACCCAAGACAACCAGCAGCTGCAGTGGCACCCTCAGCTTTTAACTCCATTATACAGGATTCGTCTGATGGAACAGCATTCCAGTCATGTGACATCCCGCCCTAGTGCCCAGCTGCCAAATTAACAGGGGGAGTAGAAATGTGTGGAAACTATGGAAACGGCCAACCCCAAACAATGGGCTCATTGGATTGTGTGCGCCAAGCTCCAACCCACACAGCATTTCTGCGGATGGATAACCAGACCACCCCGAAGGGCTGCACAGCACCAGGAATTGGAAGTGCCTGTTGATGGCTTGAGTGGCAGGTTTTACAAACGTGGATTTGTGTAATTGCCTCAGCTTCCCCAGCTGTCAGAACAGGGTAATGTCAGCTCCCAGCCTCACAGGGACCATGGCCGTACATCTATAAATACATGCAAAGGACAAGCACCGGAGAGAGGCCTGGCTGTAGAATATAGTCCAAGGGCCAAGTTTTTAAAAGCTGTTGCAAGGCCTAAGTGATTTTGACAGCTAAGTCCCCTTTTCAAAAGTGACTTAGGCTCCAACGTGTTCCAGCCCATCAGTGGGGTCACTGACTTTCAATGAGATGGGGGGTATGTCTACACTGCAGTCGGAGGCGTGACTGCAGCTCGTGTAGACACATCCACACTAGCTTTTCTCTAGCTAGCAGTTCCCAGGAACAGCAAAGCCATGACAGCATGGACTTGAGTGCGGGTTAGCCACTCAAGTAAGTACCCAGGGTCCAGGCAGGTTTCTATAAACTATGCTGCAGCCTATACGGCCGTGGCTTCACTGCTATGGTATTCACACTAGCTCAGGTCTACCTGCATGGGCTGTACTCACACCTCTAGACATACTCTTAGGCTGCTAGGGCCCAGCTCCACGAAGGTATTTAGGCCTCTACATCCACCTGCTCAGTTGCCGTCTAACCCCCTAGGTGCCTCTGTTTTACCAATCAGCATTCACAAAGCTCGGATGGCTACGGAGCTGCTCAGAGCCCTGGCCCAAGCTGAAGCTCCAGGGGCCCTGAAGCAGGATTCTCAAACTAGGTAGGGAATCCTGTCTTGCTAGCCAGGCCCAGTCCTATCACTGTGCTCTGGAACCCCATTAATCCCACACTGGCGTCCCGGTTCCTCCCGGAGCACAAGGGAGGAAAGCACTTTACACAGCCTCGTTTCCGCTGCCCCACAAGGGAACTGCGTCTGTCCCAAACTAGAAAACTAGCTTGGGAACTTGAAAAGAAAGAAAACTTGACAGCCAGATCCCATGAAAACCCAGACAGCAAACCAGCGCAAGGCCAACTGCTCTGGGTACAATTAGAACAGACCCCAAGCTCAGCTCAGCGCTACGGCAAGCCTGCTTTCTGGAGGTCTTGGGGGAGAGAGGGAAGCCTGAAGCAAGAAGGAATCTGAGAGGCCAGGAAGAGTCCTGTGTACAGCCAATTAGGCTGCATTCATAATGTAGCCCCCCCCGCCCGGCTTGACATGCCTCTCTCTGCTCGCTTTGCTCTTGTTTACTCTGGACTCCTCTCCCTGCCTTTCGGCAGAGAAACGTTCTCATTTTCTGCTGGCTGGGGAGGGAGGGGGCCAGGTTCCCACAGAACTGCAGCTGTACATGCTGCGTGTGAACTGCACTGGAGCAAGCTCGGTGTCCTCTTGGAAGACACACACACACATGGTCCCAGTTCAGCCAGATTTGTCCAGCGCGTACAGGTCAAATACAGACCACAGGAAACAGCAGCATCACCCAGGTGTGTCTGGGCTTTAACGTGCTGCACTAGGCTAGAGATTGAAGAGAAGGGATGCGTACTACAAGCCATGTGTTATACCCATGTCTTCTGCTGCATGAAGCTATCTGGGCTCCATTCTCCCCCTAACTTCCCAGTGCCCCAGATGGCTAGGGAATTACTGCCCGTTTCATACGTGGGATAAACACAGGGCCAGCGAGTTTATGTCCAACATTTCCAAAAGTATCCACTAACTCGGAGTGCTGGCGTGCTGGGGCCCCGCTGGGAGACCCCAGCTGTGGTTCCGAGAGCTGGGCACTTTCAGCGTTCGTTTGGATCAGCAGCCTGGAAAATCCCACCATCACTAACGGTTGATTAAAAGAGATTGAGCCCACGGTGTAACTGCCTGTTCTCCAACCTGGAACAGCTCGGGGGGGAGGGGGTGTGTGGTCTCAACACCCTTCCGAGGGGAGAGCGTACAGTAGTCGGGACACTGGGCAGCAGGCTCCTTGGTTCTGTTCTTGATTCTGCTGCTTACTCAACTGTGTGACCCTGAGCAAGTCACTGAGCCTCAGTTTGCTCCTCTGACCCAGCTCCCATGGGTGTTGTGAGGTTACTGTAATAACATAGGGGAATGGGGCTTGTACAGGTGGAGAACATGGGAGTCAGGGGTGGTGTGCAGCACAGCACTCCCCAAGGCCTGCTTGTCTCTCTCCAAACAAATTGGGCTGCGTAATGAAAAACAGACATGGCCCATCAACCAAAGGGTCTTGAAACCCAGTGAGTCATGAGGCCACTGACGGACACGCTGCTTCTGGGCATGTGACGTTAAGTGCTGTCACTCCCTGAAAACACCCCAGATGAGTCTTCTTCCATTGGCTGCTGCCCCCGGACATTTCCATGGAGATAAGGCTCCTGCCAAAGGTTTGTAAAGTGAATTAAGCAGCCACGTAGCTTTCTGAGCAGTTGCAACCATGGCTTGTTTGAGTGCTGCTCATTCTTAACCAGCAGAGACAAAACCAGATTTAACCAGAGCCCTCTTGCCCGTGCATGGAAGAGAATGAAAAATGTACTGACTGCATGAGGCAGAACAGAACAATGCCAACAGCTGCAGGCCGCGTAGGCTCAGGAGAGAGCTGGTGGCGGTGACAGCAGAGGCAGCGGCTGGCGGTGAACCCTCTGCCCCCTGGAGCGAACTCTTCATTCTGCTGGTGGGTGTTGCAGGAGCACATTGTAATGCCTCAGACTCATCCCACCACCTCCTGCCTCTCTATGGCCTGACTGCCAATAACACTGTGATCGGGCTGCGTTGCCTTGTTGTGTTTGGGCTGAAAAATCCTGGTTCTGTTCCCCGATTGCAGGAGCAGCACAAACGAACACGTGCCGTCCAGGAGCATTTGTGCGAGGAAGTTGCGTCACTCAGATGCTGGCGAGAAGCAGCCACAAACAGGGATTACAATGTTCCCTCTACTTTTTTACATCCATGTGCGGAATGAATGTTGTTACGTGCACCAATATGGAGGTGGTGGGGGTGGGGCCGAGGGGCTCGGAGTGTGGGAGGGGGCTCAGGGCTGGAGCAGAGGGTTGGGGTGCGTGGGGGGGTGAGGGCTCTGACTCAGGGTGCGGCCAGGGATGAAGGCTTCAGGCTGCCCCGAGGTGAGAGGACTCTCCCCAGCCCTCTTACACCATGGCAGCTCTGGGGCCGGGAGAGGCGCCTCTCCCCGCTGCAGCCCTGCACGCCCCCTCCCTCGCTCCTCTCTAGCCCAGGCCCCTGTGGCTGCGCGCCTGCATGGCCCTGGATAGCCTGCTGCGCAGCCTTAGGGTGGGAATGGGGCCAAAGCGAAGTCAGGAAAATGTTCCGTGAAAACCGTTTTTCACCGATCACCTAGGTTCAGTCTTAACTAACAGACTCGACAGATATTTCAATGGCCC